CCCTTTCCCTCTCCCTCTCCCTCTCTCTCTCCCTCTCCCTCTTTCTCTAAAATCAAATTTTTTTAAAAAGGAGAAGAAAGAGAAATAAGACCTCTTTTCTCCAGGGATGATATCATCTACAAATAGAGATAGATTTACTTCTTCCTTGATGATTGCATAAGTCTGTGAAGATACTAAAAACTGAATTGTACACTGGTACTTCGTGGACTCAAAGCCTAGGTTGACGGCTTTCCCCAGCCTGTGCCTCAGACCTTCTGTCTTCTCCTGTCAGCTTGGCACAATGTCAGGTGAACTGCCTCCTTTGTCATTGGGTTTATGAGGCATTATAGTATATTAATTATTTCTCTGCTCCTTTTGGTCAGCTGCTGCAACATTTTCTAGCTAAAGACAGCAGTGGAATTGTGCTGTCTTAGCCCCCCCAAGGAGCTCCAGAAATAGCAGTGCAGGCATTTGGAATTCATTTAATTGAAACATGTTTTTCAAATTTTACTATATCTATTTTCATGCATCTATTTAATGTATATTTTTCTTTTTCCTTTCTAGGAGATTGACTATACACAAGTACTCCTGGGAGGATCTAATACTTATTTTTTAAAACTCCCTTAGGTGTCCAAATCCTTAATCTCCACTGATTACTTTTCATTTCCAAAGATAATTTGATATAGTTTAAAGAAATTTGGAGAACAAATGAGTAAAAATTTTTCAAAGAGACTCTGAATATTTAAGACAAGACAACACAGATACTAAGTTTCAGGCTCCAAAATATCTTATCAGACCACCAAGAGGTTTTTGAAGCATCATGTGATGCTTGCATAAGTTAGTGAATCTCAACTAGGAATTCCCCACTGATAATGTCAGGGGCATTGACGCCAAATGATTTTATGTTATTAGAATGACTAGGCTGTGTGTGAGGCAGTTCATGAATGTGATTAATGAGACAGACAAACACCACAGGGGTGCTTTCTTAATGCTTGAGTCATATTTGCAGTTGGAGGAGGCTAGATTTTTGTTTGTTCTATGTGTGAGATTTAATCTGGAAATAGTTTTCAAACATTTTTTTTCTTAGCAAATTTTAAACACAGACTAACCAAATTATCTTCTGTATTCCATCTATTTTACAGCACTAAGTCATTGGGTCTAAAAGCAATGTATCCAGTTTCATAAACAATAAGGTAAAGACCCAGAATAATGGAACGGACTTCAGTTATCAGTTTAGGGGGATCCACTATGCTAACAACTAGAGTCTCTAGTCCCAGCTAAGGGACTCCAAGATAACTTGACTGAAAGGGCAGTAAAACGAGAAAAGCTCAGAAATAGACATTGGACTTTGGTTCAAGATCTCATCGGATAGTTCAGCAGTAGTGAAGTTTGGGGCAACATGCTTCTCTAAAGTAATCTCCATGTTCTCTCTCAGTTTTTTCACTCTCTAGATACTATTTAATCTATACTAATCTATCCATCACCATCACTTAATGAAATTGCTCCTCTCAAGGTCATCTCCATAACTAAAGGACACTACTTTGTTGCCAACTTTTCAAACTCCCAGCAGCATTCCACATAGATGGCCAGTGTCCTTGAAATACTCACCTCTTGGCATCTGTGATGTCATATCTTCATTTTTTCTCTTCCTCAGTGAATACTGCTGCTCATCCTTCTCCTCTTCCTCCTTCTCCTCCTTCTCCTCCTCCTCTTCCTTCTTTGTTAATCCTCACATGAGGATGTTTTTCCCTTTGCTTTGAAGAGAGAGGGGAAGGGGGGAGAGTGATAGAGAAACATCAATGTGAGAGAGACAGATGGACTGGTTGCTTCCCACATGAACCCCAACCGGGGGTGGAAAGAAAACCCACAACCCAGGTATGTGCCCTTGATGGTGAATTGAACCCATGACCGTTCTGTGTGCAGGCCAACACTCTAACCACAGGACAGTCAATGCTTTTCCTTGACCTCCCTTGCTGATTCTTTTCCTCTCCCCAACCTGGAAATATCTGAGCCTCTCAGTGGTAAGTCTTGGTACTGCATCTTTTTTTTGAACTCACTCTCTCCCTAGGTGGCCTCATGTGTGCTTGTGGCTTTCAACATCAACTATAACTTGCATGCTGAGGACTTCCAAATCTATATGTCTAGCCTGACTCTCCCCTGAATCCAGAACTCATTTATCCAGCTGCTATTGACATCCTCTTAGATATCAAATAGGAACCTCCAATTTAACGTGTCTAAAATGGAACTCTTGATTCTCCCAAACCCAGTCCTTCCCCACAGCCAGTTGTTCAACCCCCAAACTGGTAGTCATTCTGATTCCTCTCTTAGTCTTATTACCTGCATCTAATCATTCACCAAGTCCTGGTCACTTTTATCTAAATATGTTTCAAGTTCATCCATTTCTCATCATTAATTTATTTCACTGAGTTTCAGGCCATAGACATTCTCTTACCAGATAACTGCTATAACCATTAACAGGATTCCCTGCTTTACTTGTATGGCACTACCACCCACTCTTTACATAAAAGCAAAATTATTCTATTTTGTTATTTCTTATTATGAAGATCTTTAAATATATTCAAATGGACAGAGTAGCATGAATTCCCATATACCTGTCACCCAACTTTAATAGTTATCAATTCATTGAGAACCACATCTATTTTCTTGCCTCCTCTAGTATTTTGACACAAATTCCATATATTATATCATTTTAGTCCTAAATATTTCAACATGATCTATAAAAGGTAAAGACTCTTTTAAAGTATAACCACAAGGCCATTAACACATCTTAAAAATTAGTAAGTTTTCAATATCATCAGACATCCAAAAAGTATATTTCTGAATGTCTCTTAAATATCATAATTGTTTTATAGTCAGGGTGTTTGAATCAAGGTCCTAATAAGGACCACATATTGATTGATATGTCTGTAGGATTCCTCTTCCATTAATATCTCACTTGTTCACTTGCTTTTCCCCCTCCTTGCAATTGATTTGTTGAAAAAACCAGACTGCTTGTCCTGTAAAGTTATAGTCTGGGTTTTGCTGATTGCATCTCTGTAATGTTACGTGTTCTTTCATGTTAACAACTGCTAGGATGGCTTCATAGGTGGTATTGTATTCTTCTATCAGAAGTCATATGTTTGGTTGTATGTCTTTTTTTATAATATTAGTATCCATTGTGCTTTATATCTAAATCCATTAATTCATTAGCAGTTGCATAATAGGGATATTCTATCCATCTTCATTTATTCACAAGAATACTTCTATAAAGAAGGGACTTCCTTTTGTCTATTTTTTACATTTCCTAGTGGTAAAGTTTGTATAGGAATAGATTTGCCTTTTAAAAACATAAACTGGATTGTATCTCTATCCTGCTTAAAGACTTCCGGTGGCACCTCCATGCACAAAGAATAAAATCTATGACCTACACACCCACCGCATAGTCTAGCTCCTCCATCATTTTTTTCACCATGCTCCATCACATTCTCTACCTATTAATTAAAATTTAAACTAAATATAAAACTTGAAGTTTATTGAAATTTATTGGAAAAGTAAAGCCCTTTTCTGCCCCAAGATTTTGTCCTTGCTCAGAGAAGTGCCTAGTAGGCTTCTTCTTGACCGTCAAGCTGCAATGTTATCTCCTCATCAAGGCCTTCTCTGACAGCTTCACTTAAGGAGCCTGCTCTCCCTCATCACAGCTCCTATTTAATTCTTTTATAGCACCATCACAAGCTGTAACTATCTTCCTTGCTTGTTTATTAATCATTTCCCACCAAGCATGCTAGCTCTGGAAAGCAAGGATTTTTTGCCCACACACCACTGAATCCTAAGGTACAACACAATAACTGCACACTGAGTGCTTTTCTTTTTTTGAATGAATGCCACAAACTTGCTGACCCTACATATCCTCACCTATATAAATGGGATGTAGGGATGAGCTAGGTGATCGCAGGATTTCTTCCAGTTTTTAATGTTGTTCTCTGAGGACATTAGAGACTAAGACAAAGATCATCTAGTGCAATGCTGCCCAAATTCTTTATGTTGTGGTACCTGGAGCAAATGATGTTTGTGATGGGCAGGCCATTGAGAGAAGAGCTGGTTTGGTGGTTGAACAGAGGGCCACAGGAGTTGGCATAGGGAAAACATTTCTAGACTCAAGAGGGTGGGAGAGTGGGGTGGGCTTAGAGATTTAGGGCAGGAAATTCTTCTGAGTATATACTTTTGAGAGCTCCCTGACTTTTATGGCCCTCAAGGACTTAGAGGCCTAGGACTTCCTGCTGTCTCTGCATTTTGAAATCCTTCTTTCCCCTGAAAAGTCACTTTTTTCTTCAGGAAATCCCACCAACTTAACATTATTTCAAAGCATTCTCTTTTTACAATGCAAATACTTCGGGCTCCAGTTGAGAAGGTTATGGGTATTTTTCACCTTTGTGTGAATTAGCTTAAGTAGACTGCTCTCTTCCTAGAGTCTGAGGTATCAATGTTTTGTTCAGTTTAAGAGAGTCAAGGTGGAAGGGGGCAACTTTGGAGCTTGGGTCCTTGTGTGAGCTGCAGGAGGACAAGCCTGACTCAGCACAGTGGACTCCTGTGGCAGACCAGGGTGGTTGGGATACCCTAGGAGTAAAGACAGAGGGCTTAGGTCAGCCAGTCCCAAAGATTCAGTCAATTTCCTTAATTCTGGAGGTCAGGATCTTTGCCCAAGATGTGTATTGCCAGTAGAGGATATAGAGAAACCCAGTATAGAATCCATGCTATATAGATATCACTGAGGTCAGCAGGCACACATAGAGGACCAGACTGGCACTGGTAGCAGAAAGGCAATGCCAGGGCACCTACAGCATGCGATTGGTGCACAGACCCATCCACTCATCCAAACAGCAACTGCTTTCCCAGGACTACTGCTCACTGCCTCCTCTTCTCCCAGAGACCAGAAGAGTAAAGAAGAGATTAGCTTGTAGAGAAAACAAGGCCCAGGAAGGAGGGGACCAGGCCTCAGGATATTGCAGGTGAGAAGAGGTTTTCCTTCTTCTCCCAGACCTGCACCCTGACCTTGATAAATTCCCCTGCCACTTCCTGCTCATACTTCTGAATAGGAGCTTACACTTTGCAGAAGGAGAACTTGGAGAAGCTCTTCTGGAGGGATCATGCTGAGGCAGCCACACTGTGAAGGGATTTGAGGCATGCACAGTTACATACTTGGTAAACTATGGTGAGTGCTAATTTTGAGACCTTTTTCTTATTATACTGGAATTGCACTTGGGTCTTCATTCCCCTTTAGTGTGCTCAGATGACATGCTGAGAAACTCCGTAGGATATTGACTCCATTGCATTCTTGTCTATAGTAATATCTTAGATTTCTTGATAGTAGAGATTCCCAGACTAAGGTTAAAAAAAATCACAAGATATTTAAGTTATAGCAAAAACAAAAAACAAACAAACAAAAAAAAACTCTTAATTTTATGGAATCTTAGGTTAGAAGACAACTGATTTGGACTCCCCCTTGTTGCATGAAATTCTACATGCCACTGGTTTTCGGTGTGTCCTATCAGCCTTTAACCTATGCTTGAATAGTATCAAGGGTGGGGATCACCAGTATTCTATTCTTGCAGTGACAGACAATTTATGGTCTTCCTTGCCTTAAGTTGATTATAAATTATCATCAGGCTTTATTCCCCCCCCACCCCAATCACACAGAGGACATATGATAACTTTCCAAATAAGTGCTATTAGTTATTGTGTATGAGGCCTTCTTTTGACTACTCTATAAATTCTCCAGCTGTCCCAACTGTTGCTGGTCTCCTAGAAGGAGCATTGGAACCCTCCTCTTCTCCAAGCCCATGGCAAACCTAATCTCATGGGTTTTGTCCTTGGTCCTTTCCTTCCTTCCCTTTTCAGGAACTTTGTTCCATCTTCCTTCTCTCTCTGGGTCTCCAGGGTTTCCCTTAGCCACAGACTACAAATATGCCTATTCTACTCTCTACTCAACATTGCTTACCTACTCTAAGAAACTATCCCACCTCCTGATTTCCTGTCACCATCAAATTTATGAAAAGTGTAGTGCAGCCCTAGCCGGTTTGGCTCACTGGATAGAGCATCGGCCTGGGGACTGAAGAGTCCCAGGTTCGATTCCAGTCAAGGGCATGTACCTTGGTTGCAGGCACATCCCCAGTAGGGGGTGTGCAGGAGGCAGCTGATCGATGCTTCTCTCTCATTGATGTTTCTAACTCTCTATCCCTCTCCCTTCCTCTCTGTAAAAAATCAATAAAATATATATATTTTTAAAAAGTGTAGTGCACAGTTATCCCCCCAGTTCTTCATTATTCCTTGTAGCAATCTGGGTTCTGTCTCCTCAGCTTTGTAGAAATGTACCTTTGAAGGACAGTAATGTCTTTGAAATGGACTTTTATCAGTCTTCAGGCTTCTCCTCCTTGCCAAACCCACCCTATAGCATATATAGCATATAGCCCCTTCTGTCCTGACAACATCTCCTTTAGACTCCCAGACTCAGAGTTCTCCTGGTTATCTTCCCATTTCTGCAAGTGGCTTTCCCCACCATTTCCTCTTTTATTTTTTTGCCTCCATGGAAAACACTTTCCTTAAGGTAATGTCTTCAGACCACTTCTCTTTTCTTTATCCTGTCCTCCTTGGTAATCTTTACCTCATTTCTGTTTCATTTATTATTCTTTGTTTAAAATATGTTTTTATTGATTTTTTTAAGAGAGAGAGAGGAAGGGAGAGGGACAGAGAAATAGAAACATCAGTGAGAGAAGAACATCATCAATCAGCTGCCTCCTGCACATCCCCCACTGTGAATCCAATGGTTGACCTCTTAGTTCTTGGGTCTAGGCTCAACTGCTGAGCCACACCAGCTGGGCTCATTTACTATTCTAATAGGGGTAACCCCAAGCCTCCACTCCATCTCTATCTCAACCCTGGCGTATCTCTATAGCTCCATTTTAACCTTTCTGCTGAACATCTCGGAAAGGTTAAAATTAGTGGTGGCAAGCAGGCTAAATAGCCATCTCAGATGGTGATTAAAGAAAATTTGAATTTATTTAAGGAAAAGGAGTTAGGGGGTGGAAATATCCAAAGGAAAGAGCTATATATACAGCACTGAGCCAAAGGGTATTGGGTCCATGATGGCAGGAAAACGTACTTAGAACAGTGAAACAAGGAAGGGAATAGAAAAAGCAACAGAAAAGTCTAGGCTGGGCTGCTCTGGCTCACTGAGAAGTCAGGGCCTTGGAGACAGGTTCAGGGAGTTAGCCCGGGAGGAGCTGCCACTGCCCATTGCTCCCCTGATTGCAAGTCTCATGGGGTCCCTTAGAGGTTGGGGGATATGTGCCTGTGGGAGAAGGAGAGGAAGGGAATGGCAAAGGCATGCTCCTTGGAGGGAGAGTGCGCACTGTGTCCTTTGTCCTGAGTTATTTATCTCTCTCAGGTGGAAATCTTAGGGGAGTTTTCAGGGGAGGTCCTTAATAGAATATTCATAAGCTTTCCAGGTGTGCTTTTTCAGGGTTGTGGTCTCCACTGATTGCTCAGTGCCAGGGCAGGGAGTCAGTAGTCAATGTAGCTGGTCCTGAGGCAGCCATGTCTGATTTTGTTGCTTTTCTGGGCTTGGAGCTGAAATATAACGGAGGCCTAGATGTTATCTTTAGAGAGGAATTTCAGGGGGTCTAAACGGCCTGACCAACAACATGAAAGATCAGGCGTCCAAACAGAATGACCAGCACTATGCTAGGGAAGAATAGGTTGCCCTGAGGGTGAGGTCCTTGTTTTCCCTTGCTGGTGAGTTTCTGACCTGGCCCAATATCTAGATGCCACCTTCAACTTATGATATCCCAAACATAGTTTCCTTCTTAACCTATTTATTCTCTGGAATACCCATTTCCTCTCTGCTATTCTCCCCTTTCCTCCCCCCACCCCCACCCCCCGCTTTTTTAGGACATTGCCCAAAATCCTGTTCAAACAAGTTCTAGATCTACAAGTCATTTTTAAGTTCTTCTTTTTCCACACAATTTCTGTCCACTCTCTTTTTATAGCTTCTGCTCTCTCCTGTCCATTCCCATTGCCCCAACTTAAATCATGCCCTTGTAGCCTCTTGCTAGTATGTTGGTGTATAGTCCACTTGGCATGTCCATTTCCCACTTTCAATTTACCATATTTACTGCTGCCAGATGGTAGTGGAATTGCATCTTTTGTGGTGGTTGAGTATTAAAGTTATTGCTTAAGAAGAAAATTTCTTATTGTTAACATTACTCTTTAAAATGCCTTATATTGCCCATAAAGCAAAATCTACAGACATATTGCTTCTTAATAATTTAACATTGCCAGTTTTTCCTCCACTTTTGGAAGAGATCACTTTTCTTTTTGTTGACTATCAGATTAAGTCATCTGCTTGGTTTTAGTGGCCATCTAGAATGAAAATGTTTCTTAATACACCTTAACTACTTTCTTTTAAAATATGTTTTTTTAAACACTCAGCACTAGTCTATTTGAATTCATGTTAGTTACTCATGAGTGTGATACAGATTCTCTGGAATGTATAAAAGCACAGTTCTGATCCTGTTATTTCTGTGCTCAAAAACATTTAGTGGCTCTCCATTGCTTATCAGACGCCCCATTTCTTCAACCTCACACTCAAAACTGTGCATGAGTTGGCTTCAACTCACTCATCTCATCCGGGTTCCATCCCAGAAAGGAATGTCTCCACACATGCTGTGCACATTCCAGTCTCCATCCACACTTTCCCTCCCAGGGGTCCCACTGGCGGATATACCTTGTTCTTACTCCCCATTTCTGCTGGGTTGAGCCATTCTTCAAAGATCAGCTCACATGCTGCCTCTCCTAAGATTCCTTTACAGACTCTTCTCTAGCCCAGCTCAGCCCAAATCCTACTTCCTTTTCTGAACTGAGTAGGTCTTCATTTGTACTGCATTTATAGCAAGTATCATTTTCTGTCTAGAATTTTCATTTTTATTTACTTTTTGTGTGTTAATCCTCAACTGGAGGATATTTTTTCCATTGATTTTTTTAAAAAAAGAATGGAAGGGAGAGAGGGAAGAGGGAAGAAGGGAGAGAGAGAGAGAGAAACAGAGATACATTGATCAGTTGCTTCCCACACTCACCCGACTGGGGCCAGAATTGAACCTGCAACCCTTCAGCGCAAGGGCTGACACTCTAACCATTTACCACAACAGACAGGCCTTTATTTACCATATTTTTCCATGTATAAGATGCTACTTTTTTCTAAAATTATCAGACTGAAAATTGAGGGGCGTCTTATACACGGAAGTCAGCTAAGGAGGGAGCCGCACAGGTACATAGCTGCCCATACCTTGTCAAACAGGCTTCCTCCAATCACGAGCCCTACTGTTACTGATGTCAGCTGATGCGGTAATTGGAGGTGGAGGTGGAGACTGTGCAGATGCAACAGGGACGGAAGCGTTCTGAGCCCATAAAGATGTCAAAAAATAAAAAGATAAATACTGGTAAGTGATTGTCTTACTCTGCAAAATTCAAATTGAATGTAATCAGCTATGCAAAAGAGCATGGAAATAGAGCTGGAGAGAGACAATTTGGACCTCCTCCCACTGAGTGTATAATCAGACAGTGGAGAAAACAGGAAGAACAACTCCTTAAGATGCCAAAAAAGAAGAAGAACTTAAGAGGAAAACCAGCAAAATGTTTAAAATATTGATTTCTTAATTTGGGGTTGGAAAAGTGGGGGGCATCTTATACATGGGGGTGTCTTATACATGGAAAAATACAGTAAGTTTTATGAGACTATAAGCACTATGGACAAGGTTAGTGCTTGGATCTTCTTTATATTTTTACTAGAGGCCTGGTGCACAAAATTCATGCACAGGTAGGATCCCTAGTCCTGGCCAGTGATCAGGGCCAATCGGGGCCTTCCAGCTGCTGGCCAGGGCCTTCATTCCACGCCACCCCCTGTTGGTCAGTACACATCATAGCGAGCAATAGAACTCCTGGTCAAACTCCCATAGGGACACTTTGCCTATTAGCCTTTTACATATGTAGATACTCTTTCACCATCTCCAACTTCAAGCACACAGTCAGTTCTCAACAAGTTTGAATGAATAAATAAGTAAAATAATGCGGCTTCCCCCCCCCCCCCCCCCCCCCCCCCATGCAAAAGAATTTCTCCCAATGTGCTGTAGTCTGGCAGTGCCCCAGAAGGTAGGACTCAGGGCTCCAAAGCAGCACAAACTCTTCTTCATCCCTTTAGTGTCTGAAGTCAGGCAATGAATGAACTCAACAGGAAGGCAGATGGGCAAGCAGATATATGCAAATGCAAAACTCTTTGCTCTTTCTTACAAAGCAAAGTAAACATTCTATTTAGGGAAAGAAAGAAAAAAAGACCTTGCTAATGTACAATACAATGGCTTTTTCATAGAAGGCTTCAGGAAATGCCAAGGTCTGTCATTGGAGTTGGAGACAGTTTGTTTCCATTGTGTAGAAAGAGACCGTTAATCCCGAAGACCTGCTGTTTTAAAGGATCAGACACGTTCCAGTGCATCTCAAGTTCAGTGGGACTTTAACCTTTATGGAGAGAAAATCCCCTCCCCGCCTTGTTTTTAACTCCAGGCTGAAGGGAAGCTCTGGCTCCAGGAGTTCACTGGATATAACAGCCCTTAAATCTTTTCTGATTCATACTCCAAGCCCCAGAAATACAAATCTAGCTCTGCTCAGATGCGCAGTAAGATTTTAAAGGAAGGTCTGGGGGCTGAAGAGGATGGGAATGTAATATATTTAAGGATGGTCTGGGCCTTGGGGACGAAAGGTTATTTGAGCTTGTCTTACATCTTTCAAGGGATGGGGCATCTTGATCTTTATTATGGACATGCAGAAAGTGTAATCTGCCCGCAGCGACAGAGGGAGTTTGACAGTGAATTTACACCCTCGGTGTTGACTTTAGACTGATCAGGGAAAATAACAGCCCTACACTCTTGTAAAATCTTAATGTGCCGTGAGAAGTGCACAGCGTGGCCTGATGTACAGTGTTCAGATTTGTCCTGACGTTATTGAATCGTGGCAAGTGGCTTCCAGGAGGGAAGGTGTTGGTTTTTGTTTTTATTTTTTTCTGCACAATTACTCAGGTATCTTAGCCTGTTTCTCTTCTCCCTCCTGGACTTGGGTCCTGGAATCACTTGGGTCCTAGAGAGCTCTTCCCTGCACGTCTCAGCTCGGCCTCCTGCGGGCTCCCCCCGCCGCCGCTTTTCTCTTTCTGGCCCCGCCTCCTCCGCGCGCCCCGTAGCCAGCAGCTAGACAGCTGTGTTCAATCAGAAACCACTTACAACTCCAGACGATTCAAACGGGAAACTTCGGCGTGAAGCGCAGCTCCGCTCGGGCTCTCTTTAGCTTTCTTTCCTTCCCAGGAGCCCGAGGAGCGGGTCTTCCTCGCCCCGCCGCCCGGGTTTGTTCTGGAGCTCGACGAAGCCCTCTAGGGTGCAGGACCTTCTGGGAGCTGCCTCCAGCCTGGTCATGGGTGTCGGCGAGACGCCGCAGGAGTGGTGA